ATATATTTTATTCTCCGTTTGACAAAAAAAAAAAAGCCAAACGAAAAGAGGTAGAAAATCGTTATCAACAAAATTATAAAGAGTTAAACAAAAAACATCGTGAAAGATCCCAATCATACAATAAAATTTATGAAGAAATAGTAAAAATTACAAAATTAATAAGTTCATTAAAGGAAGAAGAGGAGGAAGCAGCCCATGAAATAGTTGATAGCGATGGTAACGATAATACCAATGATTACGATAATAATTATGACAATGAATCTTTAAGTAACATCGATGTTATTGATACTACTCCTAATAAGAATAAGAATAACGATAACAATAATAGTAATAATAATAATAATAATAACAACAATAATAATAATAAATTGGATGACATTATTATTAATAATATTGAGAGACCTGATCAATCTATTAATAATAGTCACAAGTGTGATGGCAATGATGGTAAAGATATAAATGACTTGACTTCAAAAATCGTAATCAACAGTATAAACCATAATGATATTGGCAATGAAGAAGATGATGAAAACTATGTTGTGGAAATAAATTCTAATTTAAATGCGAAAAGAACAAATAACCATTCTTCTTCTTCCTCCTCCACCTCTTCATCACCTTCATTATCCTCGTTACCTTCTTCACCATTTTCTACAACAATTAAATTAAATGATCGAAGACCTTCTTGTAATCATCTTACAAATGGAAAAATGGAAATTATTAAAGCTAATTATAAACTTAAAAAGTTAGAAAATAAATATAAAAACATTGGAGAAAGTATAATTAAAATTGAAGAAAAGAAGAAAAAGGAACGTGAAGGTAATAATAGTAAAATAGTAATAACAACAATAATGATAATAGTCGTGGTAGTGGTGGTATTTTTGCGATAACAAAGAATGTTGTTAATGTTAATAATACATTAATTTTTTAGCTTATCAAAGAACCTTTCAAGAATTTGATGAATTTGAACAAAACCTTACAGCAATTTCTGATGAATTTGAAAATAATCAAAAACATGCTCTATTAAATTTGGTCAAGGGGTTTAATGACAACAAAGTGGAAGATGATCAATTATTAGTATCGTGAATAATAATTTTCACAGCATTAATAATAATATCCATAACAACAGCAATATTACCAGTAGTATGTTTTTAATAAATTTTAATAATTTAACAGATTTCAAATGGAGTGTTAAAAATAATCATGTGGATTTAATTGTAAATATATTTGAAAACTGTAGAAAAATTGAAATTGTTCATTTATATCAACGATTTAAAAATAATTTGTCTATATTTGACACGAATGAAATTTTAGAAAGATCTGGTAAAATTGGTTTACCAACATCTTTAAAACATTTCACTTTATCTGGTAGAGGATGGTTTTTTACTCCTATATCACTAGAGTGTTTTTTAACTCCAAATAATAAGAATAACAACAATAATAACAATAATAATGATAATAATAATAATAATAATAATAATAATAATAATAATAATCACCATCATCAATCACACCCCTCTTCTCTTCCTTTCTTCTCCTCTTCCTCTTCCTCTTCCTCTTCTCTTTCCTCCATTACTACTTATCCTGTTTTTACTTTAGAAATTTTAGAATCTGATTGTTTTACATTTCAACATATGGAAGTTATAATTAAATCATGCAAAAAATTCCACATATTAAATCAATTCATTCTAAAAACTCATTTTGACATTGGTTATGAATTGATTAAGATAGCAAAAGGACTCATAAACAAAGTGAATTATGAATATACATGTTAAAATAACCAACTAAATTCACTTTGAGTTAATATATATATATATATATATATATATAATATTATTTAAAATTTGTATATGAAATTTTTGTAAATTTTTTTATTGACAAAAATGGTAGAATAGCTGAACTTAAATCATAAATAAAATAAAAGCGCGTATAGATTTTTTTAACTTTGCACATACATAAAAACCAAAATGGCTTTTTTTTTATTAAAAAAGATGAAAAAAATATCTCTTAGACTGCGATTCAACAACATTCGTATATATGTGTTGCGAATCCTACAAGTAAAGCTATAAAGACTTTGTGAGTGAGTTTGCTGCTGTTTTATAGAATTTTGTTTATTTATATACTCAACTTTGGCGACAATTACTGCACAGCAAAGGGTATTAATATATAATGGCCTTCAATCAGGAATTTTGTTAGTAAAATAAAATTTATACGTACATTAAGGGTATATATTATAAATTCTTAATTCATGATTTATGATAGACAAATTTTCATATAATATTTCGGTTTCAAGGAGTTGTTCGAATCGTTCACTATCATAATCGGTACATTTCTTACAACATGATAAACATGTAAAATAGAATTATATCACTTCAGTTACACCCACAAGCATACACGCAAACTTTATTAGGCGTAATAAAAGACAGCTTTATCACCTTTTCATCACTAGCACTCAGAAAAAGAATAATAAGTCACCGATGGATAAATTTCTCTTTACACGAATCGTTTGATATTTGTACTTGTAGAATTCCAAATACCGACCGTAAAAAATTATCAAATGTAATATAATGATCTAACTAACGAGACAATTTAAGTTCTTCTTTATAGGACAACTTACTCTTTTTCATTATGATGAAAATTCGCCATCCCGAAGTCAACCAAGTACACACCATTACAGCACTATTGTCAAGCAAAATATTTTCCTTTCGAATGTCGTTGTGAAGTACACCTTTATCGTGGATTAAGATCTTTATTCCTTTACCGTTCCGTTGTATGCTTATAATTACTTAAAGCGGTACAAACAAGAGTTGCAACAATAACATAACCCATCCCACCTACATAGCACACCGGTTTTGGAATGTATCCTGGATGTTTGCGAGAATTTTATAGATTTCGACTTCTTTCTCCATTTCTTTCAAGATATGTGGTGGGCTTTCGATAGATCAGTACTCTTCAAGGCAATTATATTTTTATGAAACTCACATAGGGGTGCCTTTCCACTTCGTCCATCTCCTGAGATACCCTTAAACTTGACACGATCTTACTATATATCAAAAATGAAATTTGGCACAGGATGTCCTTTTCTATTAGTAAAAGATCTTTTAAACACGTGATAAGAACAATATTTTTTTGTAACAACAAAGTCAGATAACGAATTGGATAAAAATTTAGAATATGCATCAAGTGAAGAAGGCTCATATAAAGAAATTGGTTATTCGTTTATTCGTTTATTCTAATTATTATTATAATTATTTGTTTATGCTAATTATTCGTTTACCAATTCTAAAAATTAAATTTTATTTGTCAGATAGGTTTGCCCTTTATTTTTTACGAGAATGATCTTTACAATAAGAACAAGGGAAGACAATCAACCAAATAGCTTTTTTATTATTAAATGACTCCCCCGTAATATTAATATTTAACATAATTTTTTTAATGCGCACGTCACATCTCTACATCAAGCATGGTGGAAATCCTTTCTTTTTCTTTATGCTCTTTTCATTCCATGGGTTACATATGAAGCGGAAAAAAGATTTTTTATACAATTTTAAACGAAATGCTTCCTTTAAAATAGAATATACGAGGTAAAAAAATTTTATTATCATTATAAGGTAAATATTATTATTATACAAGATGGGTTATTATTGTTATATAAAATAAATAATGAATAGAATAAAATAATGATAATAGTCGTGGTAGTGGTGGTATTTTTGCGATAACAAAGAATGTTGTTAATGTTAATAATACATTAATTTTTTAGCTTATCAAAGAACCTTTCAAGAATTTGATGAATTTGAACAAAACCTTACAGCAATTTCTGATGAATTTGAAAATAATCAAAAACATGCTCTATTAAATTTGGTCAAGGGGTTTAATGACAACAAAGTGGAAGATGATCATGATGAGAAAGATGAAAAACCTCAAGAAATCACAAATAATAATGATGTTGAAAGAAAAAACAAGAGAAAAATTGAAAAAGAAGTGGAAGGTGAGGAGGTATCTACTTCAAAAAAAGTGAAATATGTTGCTGCAGGTGCAGGTATTGCAGGCCTACTTAGTTTGGCGCCTTGGGTTTTAGATAACTTGCCATTACTTCAACAACATCTTCAAAACCTTCCATTTATTTAAATAGCTGTTTAAATAGTATTATGTATGTCGTTACATTCTATATTATTTTTTTCAATGTTTTCTTTGACAAATATTAAAATAAATAGTCTTATAAATTTCCATTAAAAAATATTAGTTTTTTATTTTGTCTTTATACATATTACGAATGTACATATATATATATATATATATAATTTACATACCGTATCGAGCAGGTATGAAAAATGATGTATTAGAAATACACGAAATTCATAATAAATACTGTTGCTGTTACTTTTATTGTTGCAATTTTTCAGTTTAATAATTTCATGTGTCATTTTTATGCAATTCTCTAATCCCACCGATCAAACTTCCTTTATGCCATTTTACAATCTTATAAATGATTAATTTAGAATTCGTTACTAAAAATAATCATTCCAACAACAACAACAATCACAATAATTGTTTTACATACCTTTTCATCTTGCAATATAACAAATACCATATTTACTTTTTTTTCTTATCAAGAATTCTAATTAGTGTTCTAAACAATTAATTTAATTTTTTTGGCATATTTCACGTCTTGGGTTGTTATTTGTAGATTCTTTAGTGATTAGTTAATTCTTGAAGTAGTTCATCCAAACCTTTTTTTTTGGAATCATTGTTTTAAATTCACCAGATGTTAACAATTCTTTTAAAATATCTAACCCTCCAACAAGATCTCCATTTATATATAACTTTCAAAATTATATCATAGTTTGGTAAATTGATCTAAATACAGTAGATTACATTATATTTAAGAATGGTTAAATGTGTACCTGAGGGTAAGTTAGCCAATTAGAATATTCTTTTACACCTATTTAACGTAAAGTTTATTAAAATGATATATTAATGCATAATATATATAAAATATAATAAATGTACAATATACCTTGTCTAATTTCTTCATCATCAATAATATTGAATGTACCATATTTAACTTGATGACCATTCAAATTTCCCACAACCTCTTTGAAAATCCACAACGTGGTTGATTTGGTGCATGTTTTAATGATGAGCAACGTAATTTAAATCCAATGCCATCAACAAATATTTAGTGAATGCAAACAAATAGCATACTTTGATGAAAGCCATAGCATACAAAAGAATTAATTATATCTTTAAATACGTGTATTCAAATCTAATTTTGGTATTGGTTTGATGTTAATTATAGTGGTTAGCTCTGGCGCATTTGCTCCATTAAGACGATCGACAATTTTCCCACTCTAAAAATCGTATTAAATAAAGAGTTAAAAAAAAAAAAATAATAGACATAATATCTTTTTAATAAAAACCTTTGTAACTATAAAAGTAGGAACAGCTATTTATCTCAAATGATTCTGAAATTTCTCTGTCTCAATCTATAAATAATACAAAGAAAAATATAGATACTTGTATATAATAATTTTCACTAACAAATTTATGTGTGGTATTTTTATTGGCAAGTTCAGCAAACACATTATTCATTTGAGTACAAGATTATACCCATGGTGCCCAAAAATCCATAAATATTGGGATGTTTTTATCCAGTTGTTTGAATCCTTCATTCATTGGATAGTTCTAAAAGATTGTTGCTGACCATTGTAAAAAATGAAAAAATCTCGATTCAAAATTTTATTTTAATATTAATAGTAATAGATCAATGGTTGTGTTACTTGCATAAAACTTCGTTAAATGCACCTTTCCTTATCGAGCTTTATTTTTAGTAAATATATCAATCATAAAGATCCGTATAATGGGCAAGTTTTTGAAGTACCAAACTATATATTTTTATTGTTCGATTTCGAAAACAAACAAAATAAAAACAAGTTCTATCAACCTCCAACATGTTTCTCAATTAAATGTAAGATAAAAGTTTTGTTTCGATATGTATTCTATCTGCACATAAATAAATATGATTATATACATATGTATCTAATTCATTATTATTATCAATTCGTTTAATATTACGTTAATACCTGTTTATTTCTTGTCTTTCTTTTTTCCGTTTTGCTACACATTAG